ATATTGGTTTTTTGTATGACGCTCGCAATTCTTCTTACTTGATGTAACGTTAGATGGTCAATGATTCATGCGCAGTGACTTTCTCAAACGGTCAGCATAAAAATAATTTCCGAGAAATCTTGCAACATAGTAACATAGTCAAATAGTTAAAAAGCAGATTGTTTCCATTATAATGTTAAGGCGAGTCGGAGTCCATAAATAATAAGGAAGTTATTTATTAAAAAACTGTAAAATTCGGAGTCATGTAACTATTATAAAATCGAATTTCCTAGTCAGAGTTATAAAAAATGTACAACATTTTATGTATAAAAATGAATACCTGAGAAAGTCGTCATTTCGTTTAATAAATAATCAACTTTAATTCTCGTAAACAGTTTCTAAAATTAAATGAAATAAATTATCGAATGATATATATTTCTAGTTAAGTAAATTTATTTACATATTCCATTTATTCATTTTATATACACATATATCATTTATTTTCTTCTCACAGAACTCTAAGAATTTTTTCAGAATTTTTTATCAACTTTTTAGTACTGCATTTTCTTATTCTTACCAACATGAGAAAACACCAGATCAGTGTTTGGTTGCAACATGAACTGTCCGTACTAGATGCAATGCTTGCATTGCTGCAAGAGATCAACATTTTGAACAATATCTACATTAAGCAAGTGAATAAATACAACGTGAATAAGTAAGAAAATTTATTGTTTTATTTGTAATACAGTCAATTTGGATTTCTGTAGTTATATTGCATTGTAAGTATTTCGTAGCACCTAATAAATTGTGGATGCATTCTGTTTTACGTATGATGTATCATTTATCCTGTTTATGTTCGATGAATAACAAGAATAAATAATACATTACGCGTAAAACGGAATACATAGTTAATGTATGGGAAAAAAAATTCATTCGATCTATAAAAATTTCTAATAGATTTAATAGAATGGAATTAATCGTACTCATCCTGCTAATAAGAATTCTGATTTATCTGTTTCTGAACAGATATGTTATAATAGTTGAATCTACCAGATTTCTAATTAATTTAACAAAACTTTTTTTCAGTGTATAATTATCTTTGATTTATATGTTATATAGAGAAATTAGCGAATCACATCTAATCTAAAGTTTGCGCGCTCGTATGGTCGACATTTCCAATACCACACTTGTCACATGAATTTTATGAGACACAATTCGCTAATTTTAAATATTTGTAATTCAACAACTTGTTGCCTCGATATTTTGGTATTAGAATTTTCATCTTAAAGTGATCTCAGAAACCTATTCTTAAACCTTGTTACGGTCTTTACTGGACACCCCTGTATATTAATAACAAAATGTAAATTTAACTACAGAAATTGTTCATTCAATATTATGTAATGCACTCATTATCATTCCAGAGACCTGTCTACACTATGGAGGTTCTTGTTGGGGAGGTATGTAGTATTAATAATATTAGTAATATTAAATATTAGATTAGTAAATTAACCCTTCATGGTCACACTTCAAAAAAGCCACACAATGATTGCTCTGCGTTAAAATGACCCGAACCGTTCTGAAGTGTTACCAAATCAATAATATCAGTTCCATTGACTTCAAAAAATTACAGTAAATAATTTCATCCCTTAAGAAAATGGAACAATGGTGTTGTAATGAAAAATTTAATTTTAACACTAAAAAAATCGTAAACATGTTAACTTCGGAAAAGAGTATTTTTACTTAAAAAATAATTGAAATGATGTATTTAAAAAAAATGATATTGTTACACGCGTTTCAAAAAAGGTATTTATTTTGGAGGTAAAAAGTGGTCGTTTTTTAGGTGTAAAAAGGATGTTAAATTTAAATAAAAAGCTATTTATCATTGGTTAGTATTAAGTTAGTATTAATGTAAAAATTATTATTATTATTAATACTGAAGACAAATATATTGAAACGTAAAATACAAAAAATATAAAGAAAATGTTACTCTTCGCCACAGCAATTTCAGTACACAAATAGTCTTCTTTCTAAATCTGAATCAATAAATAATCACTGATTTAGTGCCAAATATGCCACTGCTAATTATAATGAATAAAATGTGGTATCCCTTACCTATAGCGAACATTGCTTGAGTGTATAAGTGTAGCGCATTCAACGTATATGATATTGTAAGATCGAGATTACAATCTGTTAGAACGTGCAATATGAAAATATTAATATTTTAACTATAAAGGGTGTCCCATTTCAAATAACTTTTTTATTTTTGATCTTAGAAAAAAACGTTTCAGACAAAAGTTGTATGGCTTTGAGGGGGACGTATGATGGTGTCATTAGTTTGACCTTGAATAGTTACTTGAAGATCACGTGAAGGTTACCTTTAATTTCTTAAACGGAAACTCTTATTTTTAGTTTACCTTTCTAAAACACTATAATAAAATATTTTTTCATCAAGTACTTTTTTAATTATGATGCTCGAAAGTTACAATACCTCCGGCATTTAGCATTATCCAAAGTGTCCGACCGACAGCTGAAAGCTCTTAAATGTTGTTTAAGATCATGAACTAGATAACATTTATTAAAATCAAGGCCATTAGAGGTTGTTCCTCTTATTTTCATTTTTACACTAAGAATTCATTTTAGCGTAAAAATGAAAATAAGATATACAACTTCTAATGGTCTTGATTTTGATAAATCTTATCCAGTTCATGGTTTCCTTAAGAGGTTTTAGCTGTCGGTCGGACACCTTGGATAATGCTAAATGCCGGAGGTACTGTAACTTTCGAGCATCATAACTAAAAAAAGTACTTGATGAAAAAATATTTTATTATAGTGTTTTAGAAAGGTAAACTAAAAATAAGAGTTTCCGTTTAAGAAATTAAAGGTAACCTTCACGTGATCTTCAAGTAACTATTCAAGGTCAAACTAATGACACCATCATACGTCCCCCTCAAAGCCATACAACTTTTGTCTGAAACGTTTTTTTCTAAGATCAAAAATAAAAAAGTTATTTGGGGTCAGACATTAAAAATGGGACACCCTGTAAAATGCTCAAACTTCATTTCCTTTATAGTTAAATTTTACTTTTTTTTCCAGTGTCAAGTGTACTAATATAATATGCTGATAATTCGGTACAAGTATGCCACTTCAGTAGATTATCCACTGATTTTCAGATTTAGAGAGTGCGTTTATCACACATGGGTCGTGGGCACGACGAGCATTCTATCCTCATCGTTTTTTTATTCTTACTTGAAAGATATAAAAGGGCTGCGTTCGGAAACATCACCTGGGTACTCCCGTGTATCATCTTATCTTTGTTTAACATTGGATGAATACAAGGATAAAACGATACATGGGGACACTCGGGTAATGTTTCCGAACTCAGCTTACACATCTTGAGTTGTCTTTGCTTTTGCAATTTAATGTAAAAATATAAATCATAATTTTTTTTAACAAAAACGGCGCGTTGGTCACCCTGTTGACACTTTGACCCGAGAAAAAATGCTTTTTGCGCGAATGGGAATGGCTGCTAGAGGCATACTAACGGTCCGATTAAAAAGCTACGCATCTCTATTGATAATTGAAGTTTCAAACCTCCAGTCGATGGCAGATACGTGTCCTTCCGATGCCAGGAAGGTTCTGAAATCTAGCGTGAAAGATCTCAGCACCATACAGCACCGATTGTTATGGAAAATTTTCAGAAACGTTTCAATCTTTCACATCTCATGTGCAACAATGAGAAACTAAACAGATTCTGTAATATATTATATGAAATATTACAATATAAAGGATTCTGTAATATGTGTCACATGAAATGTTTCAACAGGAACGTTTCTAAAACCTATCATATCCAATAAATTGAAAAACATATCCAAATAGAACAAAAAATCATCATGACGTTAAAATAACTCCAAAATGTTTACTAAAAGTCATTTTTTTATCAATCACGATTCAGTTTAACATCATTTTAATGTTATATCGTGGCTTGTTCTACTTTAATTACGAAAAACTTTTGTATATGAATGACTTGTTCTGTTTTAATTGCGAAAAACTTTTGTACACGAATAATTATATTGTGTAGAAACTGCAGGTGTAAGTGAATTTTTAATAGTGATTACGTATATGTGCTTATACATATAATATGATCAATTAATCGAAATAGCTGACGGTATAATTACCGTTTTTGAGAAATACTTTAAGTTTATTTCAATAAGTTTATAATCTGTAAACAGATGATTACTTGAAATTACGCAAATTTTGGTATAAATTTATGTTGCGACAATTTTGTTGACGAGTGTAGTTGTATTAATATTGACGCAACCAAATTTTATACTTAAATGACAGTTTTATATTCTCACAAACACAAAATTTTGATCACGTCTGGTAAGTTTTTCCAGAATAAGAAAGTGATCTGCTCACTCTTAAATTCTAATTTAATTTTATTATCAGTACATCTAGAATTCCCCATATGGTCTTCCAAGCGCCATGTGTGAGCAACTCGCGTTACTCTGTGGGAACAGCTTTATAGCCCTAAAGTTTCGAGAAGATAAAGTCTCGCCACTCAATTTTATGTAATCGTTTCTGAAGAGGGTTCAATCACGCAGCCGAAACATATCAAATAGTTAACGTACGAGGTAGAATGTCTGATTATTTTATGTACAACTAAAAATATATGTATTTTTTTACGCAATAAGTTCTGCGGTTGTCTCACATTTACCCTGTATTTCTATACTTAATTGTTAATTTTTATTATAGAGAGGCCTTAAAAATTTGTTTAATTATTATTATTTCTGAGATATTTTTGAAAACTTCGGTGCTGTAAGGGTTGCTCGGATCATTTTGACTCACAGTGACCATAAAGGTTAAATAGTTTCAGTAACAGTAAATATTTTTTTATTTAAACAGTAATAATAAGTATTTGAATAGTTCATATAAATATATTTAACCATTTTAATGTATTATAAACATGATATAAAAAAATTATAGCGCATGGAAAGCGCGGCGATATCCAAGGTATATCTACCATGCGCACTTTGATAGCCAAAACGCTGCTGAATGGATTCCCGCAAGATAGCATTGCACCTTCCTCCAAGGTGCAATGGATTCTATCCCGTTTGATTACCAGACAGCCTATATTACCATTGATGGATAAATATCACGTAAAAGGGAACGGCTTCACTAAGGATAAGCCATACGTCCCATCAAAGTGGGACCACAACATTACACCGATGATTGATGAGAGCGTTGAGTCAATCAGGTAAATATACAGTCTACCGCAACTCGTCGGTTCGCGTAAAGGAGGCACGGCAGTGTCGCTACGCTTGGCTTAGCGCCGAGACACTACCGTGTTTCCAGATTTTTAAAGGAACAAAACTGAAGATTAAATGATACCTCGATAGAAAATTGTTTACAAAAAGTAGCACAATTTTCTAATTACTTTATGAAAAAAACCTTCGTGAAAAACTCTAATATCACATAATATACTTAATACAAGAGCTATCTAGATAATAAATTTCGTTTAAATTTTGCCGCCACAGCGGTGTGGTCTCGATGGTGCGCATGCGTGCCGAGTTTGTTGATTCGTTGGGAAGGGATAACGCAATTTTCAATCATTGGCCGGTATTCATAGTCGGTTCTTATTTCAAAACCATCTTAAGTAATGTCTTAATACACTAACGGCTCTCTGATTGGTTCATGACACCTCGAGGTTGCTGAACTTAAGGCCCTGCGCACAATAGAGGAAATATTAGAAACAGGAATAAATATTAAGATTTTAACCTATCAGATACACCGGAATACACGGTTTCTGATAGGTTGAAATCTTAATATCTAATCCTGTTCCTAATATTTCCTCCATTGTGCGCAGGACCTATGACAATCTTGAATATAAGAACTGACTATGAATACCAGCCATTAGTTCGGTGTATACTCACTGTAGTGTGTGTTCATAATGTTTAAACCATGAAGTAAGAATAAGGAGACTTAACTGTGTAGATTGAAAGTGGTCACGAAAAATGTTCCGTGAACTGCCATGTCCGCCGAACGGAATAACTTGCAACATTCCATCGCCATATTGAATATTTATATGTGTGCAGTATACTTGCGACTGTGTTATACATATGTGTATTAAATACGTGTCTCTTAAAAAGTAAGTAGCTTGCCCTTCTAAAATCTTAATAAAAATATACTCTCATTCGTCGCGTTTTCACTCAAAACGAAAGAATCTGTAAGAAAAATGCAGCGGTCGGTCTTGTGAACCGAGTTATTAAGCGTTAAAGTTCGAGTTAGTCGCGCGTTTACACCGAGAAAGCAGACGATCTATTTGAGGTGAGGGCGCTAAAAAATCCGGCCTGACCTGCAACAAGTAAGGTCAGGTATCAGAGTGTTTACAGCGTGTGGCCTAAATAATGGCTGCGTTCAGCAGAGAAAGCAGCTTTGCAACTGTTGTAAAATTCTTCAATATGATTGGTTTATACGTTTAAATCTGTAAGGAACCAAAAGCAAGAACCAGTCGTATTGAAGAATTTTACAACGGTTGCAAAGCTGCTTTCTCTGCTGAACGCAGCCA